GAATAAATCTAAAGCTTGATTTTGGAAAGCACTTGGCTGTATGAGTGTGTTAAAGTGAAACCGGAGTCGAATTTCTCGCATAAACCCATTTGATTAATGTTTTTTTATGATTCTGACAGGACATGGCATGAATGACAAGCGCGTCACCCGGGCCATTTCTCTGTGCAAGAGAATTGTAAGCTGTTTTTCGTGCAGCTGGAAGAAAAGGAGACATCTTGCTGAAGTCCAGATWCAGCTGGGTCTGCCAAGTCACCAACTCATAACCGAGTCTGCCACACGCTGGGGATCGAGGCAGCAGATGATAGAGAGAGTCCTGGAGCAGGAAGGAGCACTRGCCAAAGTCCTGTCTAGTGACAAAAAGACCAGGCACCTTGTCCCTACCTGGCAGGACTTAGAGGTCCTAGAAGCAGTCCAAAAGGTCCTGAAACCTCTCCAGGACTTTACCGATGCTTTGTCAGGTGAGGAGTACGTCACTCTCTCAAATGTGAAACCTGTGCTGCACCTTTTTAACGAGAGTCTCCTGGCATGTGAAGAGGGTGATAGCGAGCTTYGCAAATCGATCAAGACCAGCATTGTTGAGTATCTCAACAGCAAGTATTCTGAACTAGCCACTACTGACCTACTGGAGATGGCTTCATTTGTGGATCCACGGTTCAGGACCACCTACATCCCAAGTGAAAARGTCGATGCATTGAAGCACAGAGCTGTCTTGGAGGTGGAGACGCTACTGGCTGATCAGGGCAGCTGTCAGCCGCCTTACCTACCTGTGCCCACTGTGCCTGAGCCTGCAGATGGAGAAGCAGCAGTAGCACCAAAAGCTAAGAAGACACTGGCAAGCTTCTTCAAGCAGCGCACAGCMACCACCACTGCACCAACCAAGAGGGGGCCTATTGAAAATGAACTGTCAAGTTACTTGCAGTCAGCAAGTGTGGAGAGTGACACTGATCCCCTCAAGTGGTGGAAGGATCATGAATTTGTCTTTCCAGCTCTGAGYCACCTGGCAAAAAAGTATCTCTTGGTACCAGCTAGCAGTTCACCCTTCAGGGGTGAACTGCTAGCTGCAAGGGTTTTCAGCTGCAGTGGCAATATTGTGACCTGCCACCGAGCATCTCTGAAGCCAGATGCCGTTGACAGGCTGGTGTTTCTCGCACAAAATCTGTAAACTAAGGAGGACACGCTTGTCTGTTGAGTTGTTTTAAGTAAAAAAAGATGTTTAAAAACATTTTCCTTAAACTGAGCACTTTATTTTGTTCTTTCTTTATATATAAATGCTGCCCTTACTGGGGCTAATGTTGATATTGTACTTTTCTCATAAAAGATTGGCCTATTTTATTTGATAAGCTTTGATTTAAAAAAAGGTACTCCTGTTGTTATACAGTATTTATGTTTACATTTTATTGTTATTTGAACAGCTGAGCATTTATTCATTCATTATTTATTCATTTGATTTTGCAACTGTTCACTGAAATAGCCAGTTTCAATAAAACTACTTGTGACATGTCATATTTGGCTTTGACTTTGACTGAACATTTGCTCTCACTTTGCGATAAAATTATGAGTTTGTTTTGTGTGTGTTTGTGTGTGTGTGTGTGTGTGTGTGTGTGTGTGTGTGTGTGTTAGCTCGTCTCTGTTGCTTCTCACATACAAACTGATAATTACATGTATTTAGTAATTAATCAATGATGTCGGATCATGACTCCGGATCCTTCCGGTCACTTTAACCCTGATGTCCTGATGTGCGCGTCACGTTACATCTCGTGTTGTGTAGCAAGTTTAAACGTGTCTCATGATCTCTAGAGCGAATTAAACAAACACAAAGAGAACATCTGTCCGGTACGTGTCCTAATAGCTTGTGATCGGTGATGGTGTTTATTGTTGAAGTGTAAAGTGAGCGCAGGTCAGAGGGGGAGTGAGGAGGAAGCAGACTCCAACAGAGACTCTGACACATACAGAACGACCAAACCTTTAATGTGCGTCTGTCCTGGTTATAATTATTCAACAGTGGAAACCCACTAAAACAAAATGAACCAAGCATAAAACATGAATTGATTATGTTCAGTCACTGCATCGGTGCAGAGTAGTCCACCTCCATGCAGGAGCCCAAACATTAGCACATGTGCTGCTGTTCCTCCTACACTCTGTGCGTCAACTAGCTCCACTAAGTCCAATTACAGTGATCATTTGGGTCTTTTAATACATATTTGGACTGTGAAAATGTAATTGTTTTTTACAGTCTTAAGCGGCTCTGTCAGCAATTTACTGCTCTTCTGTCTCTATCATTCACACTGCGCATTATTACAACCACGTCGAGCCAAACCAAGTGCGCCACCATCTCCTCTGGTTCTCCTTACATTGACTAAGTTTCAAAACACATGTGTCAGATCACACTGTTTTGTGTGAGTATGTGTGTGTGAGTTAGAGTTAGAGAGAGGACAAGAGCGAGTGGGACAGCTGATGAATGTGCGCGGTGCTCTGAATAAATATCTAACTCATAAAGAAAGGTATTGATCATTATGATATTGAGGTGTCATTTCAAACAAATCAACATTTAAACTGTTGCGAGTCAAAGACAGCTGAGTCTGTGAGGGGGTGGGGGGAAGCAGCGAAGTCACACTATTTATCACATTCTTTTGCATTACGTATTGTATATTGCACGTGTTGATATCGTGATAACTATTCATTTTTGATACATCATGCAGCCTTAGCTTCTACCCACTGAATTGACAACACACAGACTGACATCTGTCTACAAGCCAATACATTTAAGGTATAGCGGCCCAAGAAGGGGATGATGAAAGGACATATGTGGCACAAGTCTTTAGTGCGCTCCCTCAATTGCAACGTTAAGTAGGCTGGTCTGAAGTATAGAAATTCAGCGGCTGTAAATTAATCCTACTTTGCAGAGCCATGTTCTTGCTGTGAAGAGTCACAATGTCTGCTGTGAAATGGCATACTATTTCCGATTATGGTGTCCATTAGGTTCTCTCTCTCTCTTTTTTCTTTTAAGAAAGAGAAGTAGCAGCTCCTTAACTACCTCTGGAGTGAAGCAAGGAAGCAAAGGCAGTGTGGGTGACAAACCTCAGAGCAAGACTACGACTCAAGTTCAGATTTGACAAACATGTTTCTGATCTAGAGTAATTTAAAAAAATTGTGTTTCAAAAACATAATCTGCACTGTAAAGTGTTTTTGTAAAAAATAAAAAAAATCTCTCTCCCTCTCTCCGCTTAATTACCACAAAAGGAACAGAGCAACTATAGTCCTGGTAAACTTCCTGTTTGGCACGGCTAAAGTGGCCACCTGGAAGAGCAAGAAGAACCAGATGTTGGATGAAGGCTGGACAGATATGTTCAAGTGTTTCAAAGGCTTGGTAGCAGCTCACCTGAAAATAGACCTTCTACAGCCTGACCAGTAACCTGGAAGCTTTCAGGTCTCAGGGGGGGATCAGACAGGTTCACTGGTCCTTCACTTTTAACTGAGTACTGTGTGTGTGTCTGTGTGTGTGTGTGTGTGTGTGTGTGTGTGTGTATGTATGTATGTATGTATGTGTGTATATGTGTGTGTGTATATGTATATGTGTGTGTGTGTGTGTGAGAATGTGAGACATGTAGTTTTCTTCTGTATAAATGATCTGACTACTATATTTACATGGAGGGGGGGTCCTCTCTGTGGAGGCTTCCATGTTTTTTATTGTTGTCTAAACTGGACAAACTAAAACGTTTTGAGTTTTCATGACAACTGAAGTTCTCCACAGGTTGGGAAGGGAGGGTGAGGTGATGAGTACCTCTAGATGTCACTATATTCTACACACTGAACCTTTAATAAGGTTGTAAAATGTAAGAATTTGTAATAAATATATGTGATCAAATCATATAATCATAATAAATTTCAAGTTAACATGACAGGTAGTCAGCAAACATACTTGACAGAGCCCTGAAGCTGAAGATGAGTCATAACTGTCAGATGTTTAATGTAATAACATCATGTTGTCTCTTCTGCATGGCCTGCTGTGAAAAGGCCTTCTTATTGTTCTCGTACACACACACACACACACA